TGACTATGGGTCCAGCAAATCAACCAATATAACAGAATATTCTTGATATCATACAGAATATTCTTGTTTTTTCATGGCTACCTCATAATGAACTTCAAGTGTGCCAGAGTATATAATTTTGCTATAATTAATAAGCGAGGTATTAAACAAAGTTTCATTGAATTTTTTATTGACCGACTTTATATATACTTTTAATGATTACAGTCTGTTAGATAGAATCTTTATTTATAATATAAATGTCATTTTACATAATTTAATAAATTGAACTTAATTATTTATAAAGTATATTTTATTGCAAAATTTATTCGTTTATATTATTCAATTGTTTTTACATAAACAATTTTAAATAATTTATTTTTAAGTAATTAAAGATTTTTATATTTAAATTAAATATTTAACATAATTCAATAAATTAATATGATTACATTTGTAAATGTTTATAATTATCTTTTAAACCGAACATACAGTACAGATATAAATTTGAAAATTACCCTGCACAAACCTCAACCATTATATCCTCATGGACATATCGGTGAGTCTAGTCTCGCACAACTTGGGCACGTAGGACAACCTTGCTCCCATGTGATTAAGCCTATCGGTGAGCGCCTCCAGCTGTAAGCCCACGTAATCGTGATCGTACCTAGCTTGCTTAATATTTCTAATATGTTCCTGAGAGGATTGTTGCTTCAACTCGGCCTCCCGGCGCCTGATCTCGTCTAACCTGTTCCTCATCTCCAACCTCCTGGTCCTCGCCTCCCGTTCCCTCTGAAACTCGATGTCCTTAAGCCGTTGCACGTGCGGCACAAAGTTATACCGGTGATTGTTACGCACGATATCCTTGTACACGTCCTGATCCCGGTACGATGCCATGGCTGTATTAGCGAGGTAGTTTTTGTTGGATTACTTTTAATATGTAGACACTTTTTGATGGGGTTTATACGTAGCGAATAAAAAGGTTGTTTGTTTGAACCAAATATAGTGTGAACTGCAATGATAATGATAAGTGTGTTGACTCGCAAACACTGTTACAGTTAGGTTGCGCGTATATTTCACAACATAGTGTAAGAAATATTTTTTTGAGACTTTAAATGACACTAAAAACTAAACTAAAAAGTTACACATCTACCTACGTCAATGCTAGGTACACGTTAGCATGTTAATAGAAACTTATGATAAGTAATTTACTTTGTATACACATTGTGATACAAATCAAATTGATGCTAGCAAATTAATGCTAGTAATATCTTTAATAAAATTTCAAAAGTATAAATATTTTTATATTAAATTATTATGGATAAAATAATTGCGAGTACTGTTAGACTAATTATTCTAAACTGTATACTAAGGGAATGAATGAAATGTATTTAAAATAGAAATTCAATGCTAAGTGTTTCATATGTATTGCAAGTATGCATACATGCAAAGAATATGTGAGTCTAAAAATAAGTTTATTTTTGTCGTATATTTTTCAAGAATTTTTTGCAGTGTTTGTGCAGTTAATGATTTGTGTGATTATCATTGATGAGAGTGTGAGTGAGAGAGAGAGAGAGAGAGAGAGAGTTAAAAAGTATAAAATATACAGTAAATTAATTATTTATTTATTTATATCAACTATAATTTTAAGTTATTTTGCATTATAAAATTAAATATAATTTATTATATTTATATATAGAAAATTATGGAATATACCTTTCAAATAGATTATATTACCCCGGATATTAATTATTAAACAAAAATATTAACGTTATACACAAATAAACATCCTTTTTAAAATTTAAAATTTATTTAAAATTGGTCAGGTATTTAATAATCTTATAGGCTTAAAGAGTATAGCCTTGTTTATTTTGCAAATATACTGGTGGGTTATATGGCGCAAGTGGCATAGGTGAAATTTGGGCACCATTAGATGAGCTTGGCATAAAATATGGCTGCTGTTCAATGACAATTGTAGTATTAGGCACCGGTATGTTTTCATTGATGACCACATTACTAGTGACCGGATAGACATCGGCTTTCGATCGACATATCACACAATACGCGTGTATACACCCGGGTAACCAACCGAGGCACGTGAGAACTATGTTCAAGCACAATTCACACGTACAACCCTGATCAATCAGTACAGCTAATGGTGGGAATATGAAAGCAAAAATAATTTTTACACAAAGACACATTTTATCATATATGCACTTTATATAAGTTTTATTAAATTATTAAAACCTGGTAATTTTTAAAATAGTTTTACATTCAACATAAATCTTAATATTTTGTACTCAAAATAATAATCTCAAATAATTTGTTATAAAGGGCTGAAACAGGAGATAATTATTGTATGTTTATATTTTTAATTAGCCTGGATGACAAACATAATACTTATTTTAGTATTCGTGACAAGCAATTATTTTCATTGCGAGTACTAACCAATTATAAAAGACTTTAATGTTACCAATAATTAGGAAATACAATAATTTCCACTTTTCTCACATTTAATAAACACAAATCATCTTTATTTATAATAATAGAATTGAATTCATACATATTTGCCAACAAATCATATATAATTATTAAAACAAAATTTTTATGAATTATTTAGCAATACATTATAAACATTGACAAAAGTACAAGTATTAACCAGGTACAATTTAAGCATAAATAACCAAACATACTTTAAATATATAAATAATATAACATAAAAATTCAACCTGGCTATATTTTACTCATAACATCTGGACTTATATGATGTTCCGGTGCACCTGAATGGTCTGTCTCTGTAGGCCGTCCAAGAGCTCACCCCTACGGGCCCTGGAGTGGTGTTTCTGAAACCTCAACCGTTGATTATTGAGGTTATTGAGCGCCTGGTGCTGTCGAGTACGCCACTCGCTGGACACCCGGCGATTATGAGGCGGTAGGTTGCTGTCATAGTGGTTGTTCAGCTCGGTGTAGTACAAATTGACCCTGTCCATGGGCTCGGTAGGGTGCATGGGGTACATATGCTGGTGAGACATCATTACGGTATGCCCTTTACTCATTATATTTATACTAGTACAATTGGTATTATTAATAAAGTTACAATTATTTGTTAAAATAAAACTTTTTAGATGCTATTGAGTTGTGTACAGAATATTCTGTTATTATATTCACAAAATCTTTTGGCTTAATATGTGTTGTCTTTGAGTGAAAATCAGTGATATTTGTGTCGAAATATATCTATTTTCGCCACACATTTGCGTAAATACTTTATATGTAACGGTATTTATAAATAGGTTTTCATCCCTAGTAACCATACACTCACGCAAAGGTTACGCAAATAAAAGTTTAGCGATTTTAACATTTTTAAAGTTTTTACTTTTTTTTATTTTTTATCATATACAATATTTATTGTGATAATAAACAGAATCATTTAAATTAAATTAGCTTTCTAATATAAACATTTTGAACATCATCATAATAAATTTTAATAATCAATTCATTGAAAGAATTTTAAATTTATTTTAACAAGCAAATAAATAATACACATTACTATAATTTTATTTGTATATTAAATTAAATTTATAAATAATTAGCGTACAAATTATACAAGCACCTTACTCATTCAAGAAAAACGTACTTTTTTGGATCACCCCTATATGGGTTTAGCACAGGATTAATGTAATTCCTGTGCACCGGTATGGTCTGACTGAGTAGGCCGTCCAACAGCTCATACCTACGGGCCCGGCGTTGGTGCTCCAGTTTTCTCATCTGACTGTCCAATGACTTTACAAGCTCCCGGTGCTCAATAGCTTTGAATTCTCTAGTTAGCCGGGTATTATGTGGGTAGACGTGTGCGTCTAGATTATCAGATACCTTATCGAAATACTGGCGGGTCCTGGTGGTCATTTTTGCACCGGTAGGTCTGTATTTTATAATAATGTAATTAACCAGCTTGAAATAATATTTTTATATTTTAAATAAAGATTAATTTATTCTATTCATACATACCTTGGTTAGATTGTTTTTAATGAATATTCTGTTAGTTATATATTTGTGGCAAAAACGTGTTTTAAAATGTTTATGAAATACTAATGACTGGTATTTATGTTAAGAAACTATTTTTATTACTGAATAACAGTCTATTTTTAAATACACTTTCTATTTGTCAACGATCTCTCTCTCCCTCTCCCTCTCACACACTCACTCACACACTCACACTCACACACACACACACTCACTCACTCACTCACTCACACTCAATCTCAATAACTTTCTAAGTTGCTAACAAAATAATGTTACTATAAATAGATAAAAGGTTAGTTAATAATTCATATTGACAGAAATGCTATATTTTTGAAGTGTCATTAAAACAAATATCTTATTGAATTTAATACGTTTAATTAAAATTATAAAGATTTTATTGTCTGTTTACAAAAAATAATAATAATATAATTTAATTGAAATTAACCAACTTCAAAAATAATAAAATTTTTATTTAATCTTTGTAGTTTATTTTTCAAAAATTACATTTTCATTATAAGAGTTTGTAATTTATTAACATAATCAAATATGCATACATTTACTGTATCTGTAAGCAAAATTTAAAAGCGATTATAAATTAAAAATATATATAGCATAGACATAAACATTAATAAATAAATAAAAGCAAGATTGTAATAAATTCACCATGATTAGAACATCAATAATTCACAAAATCATGTAATTCCTGTGCGCCCGGAAAGCCTGTCTCTGTTGACGGCGTCCTTTTAACAGATCGCCCGTACGGTTGAGGCTCTGGTAGTCCTGGACACCCATTCTCTCGTCCGACTGATGGTTGACTGTCCGGTTGTATTGACCGCTGAATTCACGCGCGTGTCTGATATTACGGGGCCGTTGGTTCACCTCGTGATTGATTAGCACATTGTCGTAGTACTTGTCCACGGGGTCCATATCACAAAACACGTAGTGACCCGATGGTGGCCTAGTACCAGTTACCACGGTGTAGCTGATGTATTTGGGAACTACATTAAAAGTTATATAAGTATATAATATAATTATTTTGTTAAATTTTATTATACATACATTTTGCGTCCGACATCACTGTTTGACAGAATATTCTGTTGTGAATGTGTGTTGATGTGAATGTTTGCGTGTAATGTGTGTTTGCATTGAAAACTAGTGGTATGTGTGACGAGAAATTTATTTTTAGCGCATATTTACGTAAATGTCCTTAAAATTCAGACAATTTCTCTCTCTCTCTCTCTCTCTCACACACTCACTCACACACTCACACTCACACACACACACACTCACTCACTCACTCACTCACACTCAATCTCAATAACTTTCTAAGTTGCTAACAAAATAATGTTACTCAGTCTATTTTTAAATACACTTTCTATTTGTCAACGATCTCTCTCTCCCTCTCCCTCTCACACACTCTCTCACACACACACACACACACACATTTATATTAAAATTAATACTATTTAATTAAATAAATAATACTATTTAATTAAATAAATAATACTATTTTATTAAATGATTATTTCAGTGAGTACTTATTATAACTAATTATTAAAATTATTAAAACTTGAAAGACAAATTTATAATTAGCCAAAACCGGGTCAATAGCATGAATATAAATATATTTTAAGTATCTAGTGTTTGATATTTGCTATTCCTTATTATAATAATTTTAAAACATTGAACACAAATTAATTATCTCATTTGTTAAATTATTTATCATAATAATTTATCATTCGGTATTTGTTTATTCAAATTTTCGCATAAATTATATCAGTATTTGTACAGTTGATAAAGTTAGATCAAGGTCCTCTCTTGTATGTTTCATAATCATTTATTACGATTATAAATATATTTTCAATTACACTTAAAATTAGACATAAAATAAATATAAATTCTTAAAACTGTTGTTTTTATTGCATTTTGCAAAAGTAAAAACATATTTATAAAAATTATCAGTAAATTATTTTTGATTTAAAAATATTCTACATAATAATTACTTACTATAATAACATATTAATAAGAATCATAATGAAAGGTAAGCTAAAATTCTATGATAATTATAAAATATTGTATAAACATGAACTATTCATAATTAAAATAAATATTTTTTGTTTCATTTTGATATATTTAATATTAAATTTTAATACTCTGTATGTTTACTAGTAGGATATACTCTATTAATATTGCAAATCACAATCATATACTTGGGTTACGTTGTCGCTAGCGATTGCCCTGACCCAAAACAAATTGAACCATGCAAATGCCTTAAAACTCTTCAAGGTACTCCGGACCTTATATGCATCGGCACAGAAATCACCGATTTATCGCACATTAATTTTACGACAATTTACCATTATCATAAACGTTTTCTAAACCTGGTAATTAGCAACACCTCAATCGAAACTTTAACTAAGAACATGATATCAGATGTCTATTATCAGCACCTACATATTATCAATAACCTAAAACTGAGCAACATTAATTTTAACAACACTTATATTTCGTCGCGAGATAATCTAGTAGATATCCACTTAATTAATTCGCCCTTGATCACTTCAAGTTACGATGTGTTTTATTTGGTCAGCCAATTGAAACCTTGGAATCAGATAACAATTCAAAATGTGAACATTGATCATATACCGGATTTTGCGTTCACAGAGAATGGACACCTTTATAGCTTGACAATTACCAACACCTCGGTCAAAAGTATAGGCAGTTACGCGTTCGAGAAATTGGTAAAATTACAAAAATTAAATTTGAAATATAACATGATTTCAAAAATACCATCAAACGGTTTTACATTTAACTTGGCTAGCACGGTTAGGCAGTTGGAAATTAGCCTGGATCACAATCAGTTAAACGAAAATAGTTTCGATGATAACTGGATCAATAATCGTCAGGTTTATGATACCACTAAAATCATTATCAACCTCAACCATAATAAACTCACCACGCTACCAGAAAGTAGCTTTAGTAGTGTTTTGAACGATCCGATGATTAAATATGTATCGGTGTATGGAAATGATTTTACATGCGATTGTTGGGTTATGTATTTATTGAGTAACATGGCTCAATTCAATCATAAAGTGTCCTATATGTATTGTAAGAATTCGGTGAATGCCCCAAGGGATCTACATAAACATATTGAAGCATACATTTGCTAAAATAGTAAAATAAAATTATTGATAAAGATTAAAATGTTATATCCAAAAATATTTGAACCGTAGACTTGTTTCAAAAATTGATTTTTTAAAATTTAATTTTTAAAATCAATTAATCTATATACATGTAATTTAGTTTTATACATTAAATAAATAAATATTACCATTTGTGCAAACATTATTTGAATATTTTATGTTATTATATTAAAATCAATATTTTGTTTTTATTTCTATCTTATTGACTTATTAAAAAATACATAATAAGTATATTTTCACTAAGATTTCTTCAGAAATTAAAAAAATAAAATTTAAATACTGTAATGATATAACACTAATGACGTAATATTATTATATTAAATAGACTTATAATAATATTAAACTTGTTAATTGATTTTACATTTGAAAAAGTAAATAAAAACTTTATTAATATAATTAACATGCAAAAAATATTGTTTACTGGTAAGTATAATAATAAGGAGATTCATAAAATTAAACATTTAAATACATTATATTTAATATACTATTTATATTTAAGTTATTTTAAATAATAACTTTAGTATCAGTATAAAATTAACTTTGCTAGTTTACAACTATGCAAAACCATAAAGTTCAGGCAGACCATAAAATCAATTGCAAAAAAGTGTTACCAGGATCATTGGTGCATGAGAGGGCCGGTATACATCTCTACAATATTGGTCTCTCGCTGTATAAACCAGTCAGGCCTCGGGACAGACATATTATTCATCACCCGATTCTGGTGTTTAGTTTAATATTGATTTGCATTTTACGTCAATCGGTGTTAATCGCGATTCCGGAACAGAATCCAGAATTTCACGCTATTATTGGCGACGCTATCTATAATTTAGGGAAAAGATCATAATCGCCGGTATTATAGCCCTGTCCTCACAGCTACTAAATTATTATAATTATAGTCGAGGTATAAAACCGCGGGATTTGTGTGTATTTTGGATGCTTTCGGGTTTAATAACACCCATTAGTATTGGTATTCACGACAAACTAGTTATCATAAAAATACACAAATTTAGTCATATACAAATATACAAAAATGTATAGCGATTACGGAATTTATAACAAAATGTGTATTTTATTTAAATGTAATTGTCATATTTGACGTATTTTCATCTAATCACCAAGGTTATGCTGTACTTTTAGTAGTGATACCTCATACTATAATGTGGGCACTGGTAGCCTATTACATAAACTGTATAGTTATTTGGCAGTTAGTGTACTACACTATAATAGCCTATTATTTGCGTTTAAAAGTCCAATCAATAAATCAATTTGTCACTAACAAAAATAGCAAGCAAATTTTTAATCCATTAAAAATTATGAGACAACTACACGACATATACATTGAAATTAATGAATATAATAAAATTTATTGGTCTAAGTTTTTAAGTATCTATTGGATACTGGTCTCAATAATAGTTAATTTAATGTTATTTATGTGAATGACATTTAACGTAATAATTAAAGTGCTAATTTTAGTTAAATACATAGAGTTTATGTGTACCCTGCTGATTATTATACAATATTCATCGAGACTTCATACGCAAGCTAATAACTCATATGATATTATGTATAGTTATCACGTTAATAACCAACAAAAGTGGCTTCATAAAAAATTAAAGGTATTTATTTAAAATTGTTACTTGTTAATTAATAAATATTTTATTATCTTATAGTTAGCGCTATTTATGGACCATTTGGGGGCCAATAGGGTTGGCTTTTACTGTTGGGGACTATTTCTGATAAATCGGTTTCGCGGTTACGAGGTATACATTTAGCATGCACATTTTAAATATATAAAATATTGTTGCGAAATAATAAAATTATATTTATTTGATAGGTTTTGTGCTTCATGGGTATGTTATTATTAAAAATATTGGAGTTTTAGTAAATGAATTGATTAGTTAAATTAAGTATTGTTTCATATTATTTTGTGTCAAATTCAATAATAGCAACTATGTACTTTTATAAAAAAAACTTTATTCATTTGTTCAACAATTGCTTTATAAGTATTATATTCAGTGAGGTCATAAGGTTACTATAGCTTATAATGGTAAATAAGATATAAATTAAATAATCTAAATAATATTAATTAAATAAATTATTAATATATAAATTCTAAACCTGAACTGTATATATAAATTATATTTTATATTACGATATAAGTACTGTAATAAAATAAGTCAAATATTTTTGTTACGTTTTAAAAAATTTATTAACTTTTTAAATTATTTTACAATATTTTTTATACTTGATAACTAGTAAGTTAATAGCTAAAAAACTTTATCTAAGTTAATTGACACTGACATTGCTGATAATATAATTATTAAGTATAAAGTTAATGGTCACTAACCACTAATGGTTTACATATTTTGCTCAAATAATTTATGTGAAAATATTTACAAATATTTATAAATATTATAAACAGAAAATATCACTATCAATAAAATTAATGTACTAAAATAATTTCCAATTAGACTATTAGAAAAATTATGACCCTGACACTCTCGATGCCAATCGTCGGGTATAAACCCCTGAACACTGTCTGCAAATGCATTCAAACGACAACTTCGATCGCCATTCGTATCGCATATACGGAGTCCTTGTCTCTCGTATTCATAACTGTAATCATCGCCGGATATAGCGTTATATAAGCGCACAATATATTCACCATCTAATAGGTGTAACTCAAACAACAGGGCTGACCCATACCCGGGTCGTATAGTGGAGTTATCCAGGATATTCATCATCATTAATAAATTGATATCGTGTGTTGAATAGGAGTAAACTTTTTTGCCACTAGTACTCTGATTTATAGCCCACATATTGTTTATTAGTTCAGCAAATAGTAGGCCAGCCCTCAAACGTTGCACTTTCGGGGAATTCCACTTAATGTCCATTTGTATCAAATGTAATTCATTTAGCTTCTTCATAGTCCTATCCACGCCCATAGTCTGTAGCCATGCCGGTGCCGGTTTAGGCTCCACGTAATGTAACTCCGTATACAGGGTGTCCCATAAGCCGGCAACCGATGATAGGGTGCTATAATCTCCCCCAATATGGGCCGATGTATCCGCTAAAAACTCCCGGTTCTCCAGTTCCACATCCCATACCAAACTTGAATTCAATAGTATTTTCTGCTCCCTTTCCGCTTCGGGACAGTCGCTATCCGGCTCTAGTAGGCCGTCCTCGGCAAAGGGCACAGTTTCAACAGCTATTGGTTGCCATACCTGTGCCAGTGGGTCGTCCCGGGACCAGACCCAGTGCTCGGTGGGCGGGTACATACCGGCTGCCAGTGTCAGTGCACTCTCTATACACCGGTTACCCGACACACTTCTTATGGATATTTGTTTTGGTGAGTCACCAAGGTACTCAATATATCGTTTGCGTAATTGCTGACCAGCCCTATATAGCCGTGTTTTGCCATTTGGTTGCAATTCACCTAGGCCATCAGGCCATGTGTCATTTGCGTATGGATCACCAGGGTAGAAAAATAGTGGGTTACGGTCCCCGTGTCGGTGCACTATCTGTAGTAAACGGAGGGTCGATGTGTCGTAAGCACCGGTAGTGTGAACACCTGTTACGGTATAAATAGTTACAAATATTAAAAATAATTTTGTAGAAAATAGCATTTTTTAGTTTTTAATATATTATTTGATTTAGAAATATTTTATATTGTTATTTAATAGTGTGTCTTATATAGATTTTAAATGTACACTTACAACAGTGTTATCGTACGTTATAAAAGGTTGCGAGATATTTTATGGCACCTATAAAATTAAAATTTAATTGCTTTCAATGTGCACCGACAAAAATAGACTTAAAAATAAGTTAATATAATTAAAATGGTATAATATATAAATTAATTACAATTTTACAGTGTTTACATAATTAAAACATCAATAATGCAATAAATATTAAACTTTGATCCATAATTAATTCACATGTAAATTAGAATTATTGAAAATTTAATTATAAAATATTGATATAATTAAAAATATAAAATATTGCTAAACGTATTATAAATGATGATTATAAATAATGATTAGATAGTAAATAGTATTGTACTGTACAGAATTTAGAAAAAATTATTTTTTGTAAAATAGTGTACAAAACTATAAAAGTTATAATATATAAACGTATTATAATAAAATAATTACATTGTAGTTTTCATTATCAGATAAAGAGTTTTAAATTTATTATAAATTATAATGCTATTGTTTGTACATGAAAATAAATTAATATATGCCCTGCTCACACTTAACGATTCAATTCAATTGTTATAAACAATTTAATGCCAATAAAATTAGTTTCAAAATATATTTCAACTAAAACCTTGCGCAAATTACTTTACACGGAGTGGTACTGTACTGTATTGTAAAAGTGCTGTATATTATTCGCACATTTATTTCAAAATCAATGTAATTCACATATTTATAGCACTTATGGAGCACTGGTTGCCATCTATATCGTGAGAAAGTGTATAAAAATGAGAGTACAGTCGATGCGCGCAAAGCGTTCTCACTGCCTATACTGATAGCATTAGTGCACCATTAAGTCTATGGAACATGAAAGACAAATCCCAAACTAAAGGTAACTGTGCATTTTGATGGGGTAGACATTTGTAATACAGTGCTAAATGCCCTTTTGGCCCTGCGCAAACACATTGTTAAGCATATGCCGCATAAAATTTAATTTGTACTAATAATCCAGAGGGCAATCATAGCGCGGGTCTCTAGTGTGTAGTGGTTGTCGATGGGAGGCGTTTGGGTCGCAGTTTGTGTCCCGTATTGAAGTGTTTTGGCTATCAATGCGAGAGCTATACACACATACCGTGACACTAAAGTGCCGAAGAAGGTGTCCCTCAAGAGGACTACCATTGAGTGCCCGATATCTCATCAAATGTGTGGACAGGGATGCGGAGGAATGTCATGAATGCGCGCACACTCTGCGGGCTTCGGGACAACGACTCCAATACCTTAAGACTTATTTGCGACGACTCGGAGGAAGCGGTCAATGAAATGATTACTTGACTTCCATTTGTAATGAAAATACATTGACTACAGCCTTACTGATCGACACATACCGTTCCCTTTATAGGGCGCCCCCAACCACATGGGGTGCCACCAACTTAACGGTGCCGTCGACTACCAACAGCATCAGTAGGCAAACGCAGGGGGGTTAAGCGACCACAGCCCCTCCCTTGAAGACCCCCAACTTTAGCTATAAACCACTGTTCCCATTGCCACCCCCTTTAATTTTTTTCAGTTTGTTGCTAGTTGTATTAATTTTGATAATAATAAAGTATATAGGTATTATACTTTATTACCTCCATTGTCTCTATTATCCAGGTTGCAATTAATTTGACAAGTATTGGTGCTTAAAATAAAGTACCAAAATTAATAATAAATTTTAAATTGGGAAAATGGCGCTTAACTATAGAAAACTAAGACAATTTTAAAAGGAATGTTTTTCAATTTAGTTAAACCTTTAGGTGTAATTTCATTTTTAATTTTTAACGTGAAACACTTTTAATAACTTATTTTAGAATAATTTTAAGTCATTATCATATTAAATAGTGTTATAATTATTATAAAAGCATAGTTTAATTGTATTTTGCAAAAAGAACTTGTCAAGTGTTAGTATTTGTTGAAAAATTTATTTAAAAATACAAGTATTTTCGATTTTCGATCTGGGTCACACTGGCTATGAGAAGGCCTACACTTACCACGAGAGTCTTAAACGGCATGTCATTATAACTTAATTATTTTAATAATAGAATCTGTATATGTTGAATGCAACAATAATTTAACATAATTTTTAAATAATCACCAAAATTTACCACAAATGATCACTAGAGTCTAGCTTTATTGTTTAAATTAATACCATTAATAATAATGTATCAATTTAATTCACAATTACACCTGGATAACAATTACTTACTACGCTAAATCTGTATAATAGAGTTGGTTTTATTAATATTACTAGAACACAATTAGTGGGAATCAATGGTTATTCTAAATTCGGTAATATTTGTTGTGAAGGAAACAAATAGAAGCTAGGACATCCTATCCCATACAACAAACAAAAATGTTGAGCGCATGTCTGCGGTCTTACAATCTGTGGGTCTTTAGCGGCGAACATAGGGTCACACGTGAAGCCTATTAGCAGAGCATATCGGGTCCCGGAGGTGGCCCTCTCGACGATGTCCTCGTTCCCTGAGCCCGAGGTGTACGCCGAGAGTCGTCCCAATTTAGGCTCAATTGTTTGGTTCGACATCTCGTCGATGAATATAAAGCGTCCGCCGGAGAAGTCCGCGCCATATGTCGACAAATAGACCAATGAAGTGAACTGAACGTACCTAACATGCCGTTTGTCTACGTGTCTGTGCCAATACACGTGGCCTTTGATTTGGGGCCGGTTTGCCGTATGTCTCGAAAAGACCGTCGGATTAGTTAAGTACAGCTGAGCCGAAGGAACGCCGAAATGAATGGCAATAGTTTTGCGGACTCTGTTCGTCACTGTTCTGTAGACTTCTAAGTCTTTTTCGGTGAACAGCTCTTTGAGGTCCTCTGTCTTTCGTTGCGTACTTTCCATGAGTTTATAGATATTCACGAAATTATTTGCCATCGAAAGAGTGCCCGAATGTACGCTCAGGACAGAGTATCCGCCCGATGAGCCGCCCAATGATAGGCCTCTCTCCGCCACTGACAACAGGTGTTTGGCTTCCGATTCCGTGATCACCGAATCGGACACAAAACGTCCGCATCTTTGAGGGGCACACGAAGGGAACTGAACTCTGTCTTCATTATGGTCTTGAGAGCACATCATTTGCTGTGCGATCGGCGAACCAGTTATGGATTGAGTGACAGAAGCCATCACTAGTTCTTTGGTGTCATTGGATTGAGTCATATAGTAGACGATCACAAGAATAGCCATCAACAGTGCCATTAGACTCATCACTCGCTTCATAATACTCTGGTTTTGTTGTCTTTCGGGCGACCCTTCTTGTGATACCACTCGAGACACGTTCTCCTCATTTGTGTCACTATTTCTATTGACAACTCTTTTACGCCGATTGAGTCCATCCGAAGACATTGTTGTGACAAATGAATTGATAATCCAATTAAATATCACTGAAAGCACAGAAAACACAGAAAACAAACGAGTCCTGAGCCAGATGTCGGATTTACTTTTCACAAATATTGCAGCAATTTTTTGGGTATTTATTCAATGATATTACTACCCAATACATGAGTTAATTGAATGTATTATAATTAAATGTATACAATTAATTATAATAATTACATTTAGAATATTGATAAATTATTGTTTTATATTTGGGTACATGTTAATTTTGTGCAACTAAGATTTACAATTTGCCTAGAAATCGTATGATAACTAAAATTAACATGTACCCAATATAAAGCAATAATTTATCAATATTCTAAATGTAAACAGCAATATTGTGATTTTTCTTTTAAGTCTTAGGATTTCTAAATTTTTATTTAAACTATCATATTTAGTGTAAAATTCTCTAGTAAATCGATATATCACATGTCCATATTTATATCGGAAACATTTCCCGATAAAAGTGGTCACTGCGGCCGAACCCGAAGTCGAAAAATGATTTCGACTTCACATTCGTGTTCAATATAAAATTTTACATTGATTTCATTTATCATATGTCTATTAACATTACACATAAAAAAGTTCGAATTTCGACTTTAAATGTCGAAAACTCAAAATCTGCTTGTTGGAAAATTTTAAAAATATTTTATTCGTTCTCAGCATAAAATTTTACATAAGAAACATCAATAAATAAATAATATCTAATGAATATTGGTCTTATTTTACTGTAAATACTATGCCGTATATTCATGCGGGCACTGAACTGTTATGTAGCAATAGAGTTCAATATTGTCATATAGAGGTGTGCGCCATAGGACTGTAGTCCTATTTTTCTCTGACTTTGATTGTCATTTCATTTGTCAAATGCAAGTGCACTCTAGTGGTAATGACCACTCTTTCGGGTTACGGAACGCCAACAAAACTTATGGAGTTCTCCCGTTCCTCAGACATTAGGCGGCGTGCGCAAAGTACGTACGCAAAATTTTGGTCAAAAATTGACCCCCCTCCCCCC